ATTCTGTATATAGAGGTCTAATAGACAACTTGTTTAATGAGACCACATAAGTTGGTACCAAAACCTCACAAGGCCAATAAGAAAGAAACACAGGCCAGTCTCTTCTGTGGACCAGAATATGGTCCATTTTGGTCAAGGTTCCATGTGCCCTTAAAAGAACTAATTATATTTCTAAATCTGTCAAATATTTTAGCTGCTACTTAACTCCATATAAACCACACTTTACATTACCCTTGTCATGTGATCAGTGCAATAGATTTACCTCACATATTTTTATGTTACTGGAATTTCCTTCCCACAGAATTTTCATGATGCTGAGCCTTTTTTCAGTGAGATTATCCCATTATTACTATTTCTGTTCTGTCTCATACATAATGCTGTATGTCCCTGTGTGTTCTTATCCCTCATACAGAATTAATAACCCACCAGCAATGTATTCATTTTTTTCCCCATCAACCTTGAGCTATGAATTATAACAAGGCCTACAGTTGTGCCCCAGCGGTACAAAGTAGCCATTTTATGAGAATTTCATGAAAAATTTTCAAGAAATATTTTATGAAATCAGGAACTCAGAGTAGCTATCAAACTCAGAATAGTTTTGTCAAGAACTCTTCTGAAACTGAAAAGCCTCTGCAACTTTCTTATCAATACATAGTAGGGAACTGGTGAATAATTAGTGGATGAATCCCACTAGTCTCTAGGACCAAAGAGATCTCCCTTCCTAGAAAGCCCATTGTTTCTGAAGACATCATTGACTGTTGAAAGTACCCCCTTGAGACATAGAAATAGAAATTCCATTTGACCCAGCAATCCCATTACTGGGTATATATCCAAAGGATTACAAATCGTTCTACTATAAGGACACATGCACACGAATGTTCATTGCAGCACTGTTTACAATAGCAAAGACCTGGAACCAACCCAAATGCCCATCGACGACAGACTGGATAGGGAAAATGTGGCACATATACACCATGGAATATTATGCAGCCATCAAAAACGATGAGTTTGTGTCCTTTGTAGGGACGTGGATGAACCTGGAAACCATCATTCTCAGCAAACTGACAGAAAAGCAGAAGATCAAACACCGCATGTTCTCACTCATAGGCGGGTGTTGAACAATGAGAACACATGGACACAGGGAGGGGAGCACTACACACTGGGGTCAGTTGCGGGGAAATAGGGGAGGGACAGTGGGGGGTGGGAAGCTGGGGAGAGATAGCAAGGGGAGAAATGCCAGATGTAGGTGATGGGGAGGAAGGCAGCAAATCACACTGCCACGTGTGTTCCTATGCAACAATTTTGCATGTTCTTCACATGTACCCCAAAACCTAAAATGCAATAAAATAAATAAATGGGAAAAAAAAAAAGTACCCCCTTGAGGCCGGGCGCGGTGGCTCAAGTCTGTAATCCCAGCACTTTGGGAGGCCGAGGCGGGTGGATCACGAGGTCAAGAGATCGAGACCATCCTGGTCAACATGGTGAAACCCCGTCTCTACTAAAAATACAAAAATCAGCTGGGCATGGTGGCGCGTGCCTGTAATCCCAGCTACTCAGGAGGCTGAGGCAGGAGAATTGCCTGAACCCAGGAGGTGGAGGTTGCGGTGAGCCGAGATCGCGCCATTGCACTCCAGCCTGGGTAACATGAGTGAAACTCCGTCTCAAAAAAAAAAAAAAAAAGAAAGAAAGTACCTCTTTGAGCTAAGGCGATGTCTGATTCCCTGAAGTTTCTGTCTGTTGGGTTAGCAAGAATCTAATTCCTCTCCTATATGATAGTCTTTCAAGTTCGTGTCTCCTTAAAGATTTTTTCTAAGCTCAGTGTCACTATTTCCTTCAATTATTCTTTGTGTTATTCAATATAGTTCATTCTCTTTGGGAGCATTAAGCATGCAGAGTCCCATTGCAAGACAGATGCCAGAACTCAATGTTCACAACTCTGGCTGCACATTAAAAGTACCTGGGGAATTTCTTAGAAAATATGATGGCTTGTCCCATCCCCAGAGATTCTGATTCAGTTGGCATGAGTATCCAGTATCCAAATGATTGACGACTTGATATTTTTAAGACATCAATTATCCCCAAATTCATCTACAGATTCAATGTGACCTTTATCAGAATTTCAGCAGATTTTTTTAAAGTTGACAGGTTAACTCTAAAACTCATGAAAATGCAGAGAACCTAGCCTAACCAAAAAAATTTGGAAAAAAAAAAAGGAACAAAAGTAGAACACTTACACTGTCTGATTTAAAGACTTAATGATAGTGGCATAAAAATAGTCAAATAGTTCAATGGTATAAAATAGAGACTTCAGAAATAGGCCTACATGTGTATGATCCATTGATTTTTAACAAAAGTACAAAGTCCATTTAGGAAAAAGGCATAGTTGTTTTCAACAAAAGTTAGTAGAAAATGGGACATTTATATGCAAAGAAATGAACTTTGGTCCATATCTTCTACCATAAATAAAATATACTCAAAATTGATCATGGACCTTTAAAATATACTTTTAAAACGTATCTTAAATAAAACTGTATATGTATGTAATACACATATACAGGCAGGGATGAGACTCACTGATTTAGCTGCTGGCTTTTCACATCTCTGTGAGCAAAGAATGCAAATCTTTTGGGATAGCTGAGAACTGCTTTAGCAGAACTACCTGCTCTGTGTTCTGCCTCCACTTATCCATTACAACGATATTTTTTGATTTCCTAAAATGCACCTGTGGTTGGTGCTAGGCTACTGCTCTGAACAAGATGGACAACTTTTGAGGCTCCCTGGAGCTATGGATGTTTGGAAGTGCTATCCCTACCCATAGTAGTTCTGCCGAAATATTTGATAGGAAGCCTGGCCCTGATGTGCCTGAGAGATCTGTGGTTCTTCACGCAGCTCATTCCTGGTAAAAACGTTTCTGCTAGGTAAGGCACAAGGATGCCTGTACCCTCCTACAACTGAAGAGTTAATGTCATAAGGAGCTTCCCATGCATATGAACAAAGACATGTGTGCCTGAATTGAGCCAAAATTGTTAACTAGGCAGTACACTAACCCTGTCAGCACTGCATGCCTTAGCTGTAGTTCCTGGTCTAAGACTTGATCTAGAATAATTCTGGAGTTTCTGGAAAGGATTGAATCCATTTCTTTGGGACAATGTTGCATAGAAGCCAGAGTCATGTGACCTGGCCACACAAAAGGCCTAGTGCATCTAGCTAGAGGGGTAACCAGACACCTGCCTAATCCATTTACCAAGCCCTCAAGACTCTAGTTCATTTCATACCCCACAACCTTACAACAGTGAAGGACTGCTCTCTGCCGTGCCTGTGGCTGGCTTGCTTGCTGGCAGGACACTCCACATAATCCAGCACATATTCTTCAACAAGAAAGTCAAGGTTGTGAAGAGGCATTTCCTAGAGCCTGTGAGTGTGTAGTGTTCGTGGTTTCTTTTTTCACATTCCAATCCAATTATATTTAATCTGCATTTTTTAACTACTTACCATATCTACTCTTTGCCTGGTGTTTGACAATTCAAAAATCACATAAGTCTGAAAACCTTAAATACAGTTAGAAACTCAGTTGACATCTTGGTCTTCCATGATCATTCTAGGTAGTTTCTTCGAGACCTATGCAGAGATACACCTGCTGCCCCTCTGGAGGGCAGACCATGTTCACATGTTCAGCGTCAGAGGTCACCAGGGTATCACTTGAAGGATCACAGGCCAGCCCTTCACTGGTCTTGCAAACCCAATTATTAAAGTTATAATTTTTATACTTTTTAGAGGAAAATACTTTTCCTGTTATTTTTCTATTATAGAGGTGATAGGATTGGTGCTTATTACGTGGAGCCAGAGATTAAATATTTCTCAGGGTGACTGCTTAATGGCTATGAGGTTTTCTTTTGGGGTGATGAAAATGTTTTGAGACTAGAGAGGGGTGATAGTTATACAACATTGTGAATGTATTCAAAGCCACTGAATTGTACACTTCAAAATAATTAATTTTATCTTATGTGACTTTTACCTCAATAAAAGGTAATAACAGTAATTATCAAGGAACAATAATTATCAATTGTAGAATTCCTCTCACAAGAAAAGTCCAGGAATTTTAGTCATCACTGAGGTCAGAGAATTCCTTAGAGATCTGGCCATCTGTGACCCTCCCCGCCACACCACCACCCTGTGCCGTTTGAAGCCAGCTGGATTTAATCTACCACTTAAAGATTCTATTTTTAAGAACAACTTCTAACAGTAATTTTTTGGCACAAAGAAATAGCCATAATGGAAGAAAATGAAAATAACTCCTGACTAATCTCTGAATATATCCTTTTTAGGTATATTTTTCTACATAATTTCATTAATCAAAACACTTTTTTCATGCTACATTTCAGAATATATGAGAAGAATTTTGGTTTCATGAAATTTTAGTCATACTAAATTAACAACATGTGCATTTTGGATGAATTTCATGAGTAATATTATTCTTACCGCAAATGAATTCATTTATTCCATCAACAATTTTTTTTTTTGAGACAGTCTTGTCTGTTTACTGGGCTGGAATGCAGTGGCGTGATCTCAGCTCACTGCAACCTCTGCCTTTCAAGTTCAAGCAATTCTGATGCCTCAGCCTCCCAAGTATCTGGCATTACAGATGTGTGCCACCACTCCCAGCTAATTTTTTGTATTTTTAGTAGAGACGGGGTTTTACTATGTTGGCCAGGCTGGTTTCAAACTCCTGGCCTCAAGTGATCCACCTGCCCCGGGCACCCAAGGTGCTGAGATCACAGGCATGAGCCATCGTGACTGGCCCATCAACAAATATTTTTTAGTACTTTCTTTGTGTCAGTCAGGGTATGAGCCATCGTGCCTGGCCTATCAACAAAATATTTTTAGTACTTTCTTTGTGTTATTCAGGGTATTAGATGCTAGGAATACTGAGAACAATAAGGCATACCCCCCCAACTCAAATACTTATAGTCTTGATAATCACATTAAATATATAGATGATCATGTTTCACAAGACAGCTGTATCAGAAGAGGAAGGTATGTTCAAGATATCAAGACTCTGTTTGTCATAGTCATTGCCATATTCCCAACATACACAACAGGTCTGGTCTACTGGAGAAACTCAGCAAATATTTTTTTATAAATGGATAAAGCTTTCCACAATTATATAGCGCCTTTATTGTTTTACATAGTATTAAGAGGTGGGGTGGGGGCCGGCTCAGTAGCTCCTGCCTATAATCCCAGCACTTTGGAAGGCTGAGGCAGGTGGATCACAAGGTCAGGAGATTGAGACCATCCTGGACAACATGGTGAAACCCATCTCTACTAAGATACAAAAAATTAGCCAGGTGTGGTGGTGTGCACCTGTAGTCCCAGCTACTCCGGAAGCTGAGGCAGGAGAATCACTTGAACCTGGGAGGTAGAGGTTGCAGTGAGCCGAGATTGTGCCACTGCACTCCAACCTGGTGACAGAGCAAGACTCTGTCTCAAAAAAATAAATAAATAAATAAGAGAGAGAGTGGTGGGGTGGGGCCCTTAAGAAGTGATTGGATCATGAAGGCTCTGCCCTCATAAATGGCTTAATGTATTCATGGATTAATATGGTATGTGAAAGGGGAACCGGTGGCTTTATAAGAAGAGAAAAAGAAATCTGAGGTAGCATGTTAGCACACTCAGCTCCCTCACCAGGTGATAACCTCCACCAGTGAGAAGAAATGCATGACTTAAATTTCTCACCCTTACTGTGGGCAAAGCATTGGTTTAGTGGTTGGTGGGAGGGGGAACCCAGTAGTTGGTGCATGGTGTTGGGGCAGGGCCCCCTGGCTGCTTGAGAAGATCCCAGGACCCTTCAGAGATTTTCCACCAGCAAGAAGGCTCTCACTGGATATGACCTTTCAACCTGGGATTTCTCAACCTCCAGACTTGTAAGAAATTAACATATTTTTATAAATTATCCAGTTTCAGGTATTCTGTTATAGGCAACAAAAAATGGGACTGAAGACCATACATTGTCCTGCATTGACTCAAACCAAAAATGCCCAGTTTATTGGCATAATGAAACGGGTAATGAGTGTATTTTTTTCTTACCCTCCTCAGTGTACCAATGTCATTTCATGTCAGATTTTCAGATCGTCTGATTTTAATTCATTTATCTTTCTCACATAATGATCAAAGGCCACAGAAAAATGCTTATAGAAAAAGGCATTCATCCTACTCTGCAGCCTCCTTGGTCCCCTCAGTCACCAACTCCTCTCTTTCACCAATGATTCAGACTCCCATATTAACCTCTTTTCTCTGCCCAACCACTTGGACTTAGTTGTCTGGCTTGGGGCTATTTGCACTGATTTGGGCCATAATGCCCCTATTCAAGGCAATTTTCAGTATCTTAATCCTGTCCTGAACCTTGGCTAGAAAGAGATGGCAATCTTGCATCTCTTTCTGAGTTCTCAGAATTTCTCTCTAGAGAACTCTAATACAACGTCTTTTCCAGGATTCCTAAAACAGGCGGAACCAAGTGTTCAGACAGGGACAATGATCCTCCCCAATCATTACCTCATCCACTCATTCTACCTTGTTCTACTAGGATGATACTGGTAAAAGGAAGAATATCAGGCTTGTAGTTTGTCTGTTTTGTGTTGCTATAACAGGATGCTACAGATTAGATAATTTATTTAAAAATTTTATTTCTCATAGTTCTGAAGGCTAGGAAGTCCAATATCAAAGTACTGGCATCTTGCAAGGGCCTTCTTGCTGTGTCATCCCATGGCAGGAGGCAGAAGGGCAAGAGAGTGTGAGAGAGCAAGAGAGGAAGGGAACCAAATTCATCCTTTTATCAGAAACCCACTCTGAGATAGCAGCATTAATCCATTCATGAAGGCAGAGCCCTCATTACCTAATCACCTCTTAAAGGTCCCACCTCTCAACACTGTTATATTTAGGATTAAGTGTGAAACACTTGAACTTTGGGGAGGGGGAACATTCAAGCCATAACATGGTTCATTCTCCCTTGAGGGAGAAGAGGGAGACTTCACCTTCCACCACAAGCCAAGTAAGCAGGGAAGGAGCAGGAGAGCCCAGTAGCAAACCCAGTAATAACAGAATATGGAATGCACCACTGAGTGGATGGGTGGTGGCTGTGGAAGAGGTGGAGCTGGGGTAGCATCTTCTGCATTGGACTTTCTTGCAGTAGGCAGGCCTTGCCTCTGAAGAACTCATACATGTGCCCCACAAGGAAGGCAGAATTTGGGGACTGTCAAACAAAGGGCATCCTTAGACCGACAGTGTTAGCCAGAGAGAAGTGACAGTCCACCAAGTATGGAAGAGATCCTTGTCCTAGTCCTTTGCCCTTCTCCTTCCTGATGCTGGAGAGTTCAGCTTTGGAAAAGGTGAAAAGGAAAGGTGTTGAAGAAACAGATTATCTAATAATCAGGGTCCCAGGTCTGTTCTACCCTAGGAGGAGGGGAAATGAGATTTAAGTTGAGGATGAGATTAAAGTCTTTAATTATAATGAGTTTTAACAGCCAAAATGAGGAGTTATGGAATCTGAAAGTTAGGAATCTAATTTTCCTAGAAGTTCTAGAAGTTGTTAGAGGCAGGAAGGGGAATATTCCACAGATTTCATGTTGAAAGGTAGAATTGGAGAAACAGAAATCCTTTTCGTCTTTAAATACTCTGTTATAGATGCAATCAAGCCATCCTGGAACAGAGTTGTAGCAATTGATATGTAACAATAGATATCAACATCAACTCTGGCTGGCATATTAAGCTGTCAAGCAAGGCTACCTTCATGGGTGCAGTCTCATAAGGCATTGTGCTCAAAGGGAGTTTTGTACTAGGGGTTTAATGTTCTGTTGTCACCATCTTAAAGTTCTTAATATTTTATATTCAAATTTGTGTTTGGTAAGTGAAGTCTGATAAGACAACGGAGCGTGTATCTGGAGCTTGGAGCCTGGGCTCTTGCACAGTCCTGCCTCCCACCACCTTCCCAAACAGCTTTTCCACTGCCCACTCCCCTATTCCCTGATGCCCAGAGACCCACCTAGCCTCCCTCTTACTGTCCCTCACCCAGTGACAGCTATCACCCATCACCCCCTGGGTGTAGGCATGGGGAAGGTTGGGAACAGTTGGGCATGGGTAGTGCCATCTCCATCCTGTACTGACAGTGCCACAGTATATTAGGGAAGAACTTGGCTAAATGAGCCTCTAGCCTACCTCTCATCCAGGTATCTGGTACATCTAGAGATTCTCCTGACTATTGTGGGTTGTGGCAGCAGGCCAGTGAGAAGAAGAAATGCTTGACTTAAATTTCTCACCCTTACTGTGGGCAAAGCATTGGTTTAGTGGTTGGTGGGAGGGGGAACCCAGTAGTTGGTGCATGGTGTTGGGGCAGGGCCCCCTGGCTGCTTGAGAAGATCTCCATTCACACCAAGCCTGCAGGAACGTAACATTAAATGGCAAATTTAAAATACCATGACAGATTGAGAGAGAGAAAGTGGAAGAAAGGAAAAAGATTTATATGTTAGTTCCTTTAACAATATATGTTTCCTGCTTCCTGAACAAAGAGCCCCACAGTCCCACATTTTTGTTTTGTACCAAGCCCGTCAATTGTGTAGCTGGTCCTGTGCTCAAGCTCCCTTTCCCCAAGGAAGGATTAATTTCCTAATATGGAGTGTTGTCTACTTGACTCCCAGTGCCTGAAGCTGTGTAAAGGCTTTCAATGCCAGCTTACCGCCTCCATACAGAGGCAGATACAGATTGCATGGACCTGAAGCTCACATGATTTAGGGGGTACTCCTTTAAAAAAATTACAAATACAAAATTGCTATGTCCCCTCAGAGGACCTTAGAAAGGGCCTGTGCAAGTGAGGGATCCTAAAGCTTATGCCTTATGAGCTTCATGGTAACTCCACCCCTGCCTTCCCAGCATGCTTTCTATTTACTCCTGGGTCCACTTTAAGAATCTGGAGGGTTTTTCTTAATGATTCCAGAACTGGGCTGTGCACAGTGGCTCATGCCTGTAATACCAGAACTTTGGGAGGCTGAGGAGGGCAGATCACTTGAGCCCAGGAGTTTGAGACCAGCTTCGGCAACATGGTGAAACTCTGTCTCTATGAAAAGATACAAAAATTAGCCGGGCGTGGTGGCATGTGCCTGTAGTTCTGGCTACTTGAGAGGCTGAGGTGGGAAGATTGCTTGAGCCCAGGAGGTCAAGGCTATAGTGAACTAAGATCGTGCCACTGCACTTCAGCCTGAGTGACAGAGCCAGACCTTGTCTCAAAAGGCAAAAAACAAAACAAAACAAAGAAAGATTCCAGAACGTCTCCTGGTTACCCTGAAACCCACAAATTAAAAGCTAGGCAGTCATCTTTTTTTTGATAAAGGATGGGGTGAACTTTCACTGAGGCCCTCATAATTTCGGTGTTTTCCTCTCCTCTGTCTTTCACTCTTCTTTGCTGCCACAGAGGAGTTACGTGGGCCTCCTCAAAGCACCTCTTCTGCTGAACCAGCCCTTGACTGCTTTATGAAAACTCTTGCCAATTCAATGGTGCTGGACTGCTGAGTTCTGGTTTAAGTCACATTCTACAAGAAGAAAAGAGCGTCCTCCTCCCATAATTCCTTTAGTCTCTTGTTAATTGATTTTATCCCTATTTGAGAAGCTATGTTGTTCTTTTTAAACCAAAAGCACAAATAAACATAACTCATTTTAAAAAGTAAAAAGAGATTTTTTAAAAAAATAATCAGAATATAATACACACACACACACACACACACATACACACATACAAACATACACTGTCATCCAATCTGACAAAATTCACCCAGTAATTGCCTCTCTGTAATAAAATAGCCAAGCTTAGATCATTAGAGGTGAGATAGTTGACTTTATCAAATTTTTGGTCAAAGTTTCACCTAGTACTGAGAAATACAATGTATTAGGTTAGTTAAACAACAACAAAAACCAACAACAGTTTATCTCAAGTTGATTGACATTGATCCTACTTGCCTTTGTGAAGGAAATGATGAATTAATAAAATGTGT